AAGGAAAGGAAAGGAAAGGAAAGGAAAGGAAAGGAAAGGAAAGGAAAAAGTCCTCAAGAGACCCAAGGTGGCAGAACATCTCCTGCTGTTTGCTGGTCTCCTGACTGCTGCTGCCTAGCCAATGAAAAGGCCACTGGGTGAAGCTGTGCGGAATCTCCTGACCCAAATGCACTGCCAGCTTCTATCAGACCAAACCTCCTGCTTTTTCTGTGCATCTGAGCCGTGTCGTCCATAATCCCTCAACAACCCTCAATAGGATGAATCACACTATCCATTATTATATCTCGGGGAAACAAAGGCTTACATGCGGTTAAAGCTGGGGATCTAACTCAGTAGTGGAATGTTTGCCTAGTACACTCTAGGTCCCAGGCTAAATCCTCAGTACTCACTGCAAAAGGAGTTAAAGTGACTAGCTCCAGCCCAAGTACTAGAGGTCCAGCTTAGGCCAAGCCTAGGCATATACCAGGTCCAAGCCACAGCCCCCTAGAAGGGAATAAGAAGCAGCTGACTACTCTGAGGAAGCCAGAACGGAGGCACATTTCTTAGTTTATGATTTTCACGGGAAGGGCAATAATGCTGCCAGAATTGGACTCCATGGGACTCCACCTCTGCCTCCTCTGCCTTTTTATTGGCCTTGCCATGAGTGTGGTGCCTACCCCAACCCAGACCAAAACCCAGAGCACCCCAGGGCTCCTCAGATATGGAACGTACACAATGGGACTTGAACAGTTTACTCTCTACCCACAAAGCCTCAAAGGGAAAACATCAGCAGGTCTCTGTCTGATAGCAGGAGAATGATCTGTTCAGAAGCTGCAGCTGTACTTCCCAGACTCTTGGGGACATGGCAGTCACCCGGGGCTCTGTCACTTAGTAGATCTGAAGTGGGCCCAGGTTTTATAGGTTCCCCTAGGTGACGCTGATGCCCATCATTCAACAGATGTTTAATAAGCACCTGCTATGTACCAGCTACTGTATTTGGTGTACACATAAGCCAGTGTATAGAACATCTGTCATTCCTCCCCATACACTGGCCAACACAACTATTCAGCAAACTATTGTTCAATGAGGGAGGGAGGATTTATGGGTCATAACAGGCAAGGAGGTTTCCTGCCAGCCACCACAACCCTGTGAGCCTATGACCGAAGCTAGGGTACCATATGCTGCTCTAGTTTTCAGCTTTTGTGCCCAAGGCAGGTATGAACTCAGGTCAAGATGAATTTTTTAAAAATAGCACCTTTGTACAGTTCATCCTAAAAGCCATTGTCTTAGCTAGGGTTTCTATTGCTGTAATGAAACACCATGATCAAAACCAAGATGGGAAGGGAAGACTTCATTTGCCTTCCACTTCCATATCTCTGTTCATCATTGGAGAAGGCCAGGACAGGAACTGAAACAGGGCAGGAACCTAGAGGCAGGAGTTGATAACACAGTCCATGAGGGGTGCTGCTTACTACTCCCCTTTACAACTGCTGTTCTTGATGGTCACCCCATGGTATTGGCATCTCCAAAATGCTGGGGTCTCCTACAACTGGGCTGCATTCTCACCAGTAACCTCTCTTGGGTTGCCTATGAAGAGAGCACCCATAGTTCTCTCCTTCCCTGAAAGCCCTTCAATCCTGGGGCTTCCACCACGACTCCAGCTGCACCGTCACTGGTGGCCTCTCCTGGCCTCTAATAGTGTCAAGTCTCAACTGTTCTGTATGACCCTTTCATGCCTTCAAAACCCCTGGAG